CGCTAGCATATTTAAATTGACCTAAGAGTTTGTGCAAACAATCAGACCTTGCATTAGTTGGAGATTATATGGAGAGCAAAAATGTTATGGAGCAAAGTAAGTGCAACAAGAGAACGTAATTTTGAACAAATTTTCGCTAAAATTACTTAGAAACCACGGAATGCTTGTCCGTTATAATGGCACCTTATCAAGTATCTAGGCCGAATTTGTGCCCCTTACTAGGTACCTTACGCAATCTGGAATCTGGAGCTGATTGGCCATCGGTATTCTGAACTATGTGCTCCGGAGGCCAAAGATGTGTAGAAATTTAAAGAAGGTCCACAAGAATCTGATGTGGTTTCGGGCAAACATAGAAGTGGGTTGACCTCGTTGTCGCAACCGAGTGAAATCCGTCAACCAGAAAGATAAGGAACAGATCTACGAGACAATGAGGGGATCTGGATTGTAGGCCCGAGTCGGATCGGCCGATCGAAAGTGAAGGGGTCGGGATGAATAGCAAGTGTTATGAGGCCACACTCGACGAGTGAAATGTAAACAAGTCAGAAGTTGTGATAGGGAGGCAGTGGGATAAGAGTGTAAAGAGTAGATAGATAGGCCAGGGCAGAAAGAGGAGTATGAGATGTATTCATTCTATTCTCGAAACTCTACTCAAATACGAGAAAGTGGAGTGATAGTGCAACCTTTTTTTAGCATAACGTTTGTCGAGGAATTGATTTCACTTGTCTTTTTGACGAGTTCGTAGCTTGGTACGAAGAATGGCAAAACTCACTGATGATGTCGACTACGATGCCGGCGAAACGTTTGAGAATGTACCAAATCCACTGTCTGACGCTGGGAATTATGACAACTACTATGGCAGACGACTTCGGACTAGGTGCGTTCTACTAAGTCCCCATGACAACAAGACCAAGTTGCGACAACGAGGTCAACCCACTTCTATAAATCGAAAGAAGACCGCGACCATACTAGAGGCCACAACATCTTGGTCTTCATCTCTTCAAATAACATGGTTTAGACTAAGTATTAGCTGTTGATGAACTGAGATATTCAAGCTAGCTTTACTTTCATTAAACCAATGTAGAATGCAAGCATATATTCCAACACCGACAGTATTATGTAAAGAAGGGGTTTGACTGGTTATCTCAACTTGGTTGTACTGTCAAAGCAACAGAGATGATCGCACCTTGTCTGGACTCCTCTAGCATAGTCGCTATGATAATTTTCAGCGTCGGGCTGTGGACTTGGTGCATTTCTAAACGGTTTCCCGGCACCGTAGTCGGAACCGTTAATTAGCCAGCTTATTATTAGCCCTAAGAATGGTAAGACTCAGTAACGATGCCAACTAAAATGCCCACGAAACATCTGGGAATGTACCAAGTCCATGGCCCGACGCTGTAAATTATCATATCGTCTATGGTAGATGACTTTGGACAAGATGCGTTCATTTAGGTCCCATTGAAAACGCGGCTAACTTGCGAATATAAGGTTAAGCTGCTTCTATGCGACCAAACTAGATGTTACACAATCTCTGTCTTCATGCCAGTATCATGTGGGTTTGTTGTGTGCAAACAAAGGTGGTAAAATGGTCACATGTGACGATGTATATTTATGAGGTATTTTAACTATTTACATAAGGAAAAGGCTACTTTTGAGTTATTTTTGCTGAGTTCGACTTGGGTAAAATAGTACAGTGGGGCTTAGATACAGCGAATGCTAAATGGTCTTACAAGCACCGATTAAAATGAAATCATGCTGAGGCTTGATTTTAGCATTTAATTTTTAAGGCATGATTGTCTAGACCATATTGCATTTGCCACTCGACTCGGTCTCATCATATTCATTAGAGGGGGACTAATCGTAAATAGTTATAACACAGTTGAGAAATATGAAGGTATGACTTATAAGTTGGGGGCTCCCTCAGCCCTCTTGTTTGCGTTGATAAGTGGGTGTGTGAGTGTGGTGTAAAGCAATAAATAATAGAATATAAAACAAAATAATAAAATCAAAAATACCAAAAATTAGAATTTTAGGCAAACTTCCAGTCTCGCAGGATTCCAGAAAGAATGGCAGCATTCATAAAAATAGTCGACTCTAAAAAAAATCAGGTATCAATGAGTTTCTCAGGTGATTTTGATCATTTCAACCTGCTTTTAATGCAGACTAATTGTAGTAGATTCGGGCTTAATCTTCGGCACAATGACCTCCGAGCTCGAAGAGCCCAGGTTCCAAAAAGAGAACTCCTGGCAGTGTGGGGTAGTGGTTAACGTGTCTAGACTATGTGTTACACCACCCGGGTACGAGTCCCGCTAAGGTGCTGATGCGACCTGGGTGAGTTAGAAACTGTCGTCCATCCTGAATAAGAATATCATTCGAGAAGGAAGACTATGCTACATCCAATGAAGAGTCAGGTCTACTCATTTCATTGTTGGAAAATTCAACTGCCAGCCCTTCATCACCTTAAACAAATTAGAGCAAACACAGTTTTTTTTCATGCAGATGCTTGAGGTTGATCAAATATTGACTAAACACGAGTTTTATTTCATAAATAATATCGAATTGATTTATCTCCTGTAATCTTGCGCATTTGAGGTGTGCCACGGTGCGGGATAGCACATAGTTTGCCGGTAAGTAAGGCCCATGTGTCATTTATCTGCATTGCTAAAGTCCTGATCAAAATCTAGACTAATTGAGCAGCCTCCCTGTTCTAGGTGGTTCGCCCTGCTCTCTCTCTACATCCGATGCAAATCTTTTTTCAGCTTCCTACCCTCAGTTTCTTGATTTAAGCTCTTGGCAACTTTGTGGATTATCCCTCCTAAAGCAAACAGGATGGCGACGCCAGCCTTCCAGCTTCTTAGAACAGTACACTATTTATGGATTGATTCTAGCCGATTATTTTTATAGACTATCATTTTTCCTAATCCTTCTAGTTCCTGACCTCGGTAGCTTGTGTCTGCCCGGCTTCTGCCATCCTGACTTAACTCCATAAATATGGTCAGAATGGAAAGTAACATGGACAACATTTGTTGTCTTACGATAAGCAATGCTACCTAGCCTGGTTCCTTCTATGCTTAACCGAGGCGTTCAGGAAATGGATACAACTATTATATGAAGAGAAGCTGAGTTTTGAATAATCCCTTTCTAGATTGATACTGGTATACCTTTCATAGTTTATTTTTTTGATATTATTCGTGAGTAGTGGTTTTTGGCTGATGATGGGCGAAAGCTCAGCATCGGTATTCGGGATCGTGGGACGGTAAGCCGAGGTCCTCTTCGCACAATTCAACAGACAAAAGTCCAAGACAATCCTCCTTCGGTATTCGATGAGGCCAATTTACTAATCCCTTCCACCCGCCTTCCTGAACAAAATGAAAGGTATTCCAGGAGAAAACTACTCTTTTCTAACTCAAAATTAAGTTTAATGGTAACAACATTGCGGTTCAATAACCGTAGCAATTAATATAAGCTTTTCTTGACTTGTTTTCGAAACTCAAAAAATTTGTTAATACAATATTATAAGTTTGAGATCCAGGGGGTTAGGCCCTAATTAAGTCCAGCTTCACTTCATATTCACTTAAGCTACGATCGTAACGAGTCAATTGGCTATACCAATTAACCCCTATAGTAAATTTGTGCTACCTTAGACAAGAGGGAGAGGTGGAATAAAAACTAACGGTATGCAGAAAGTGATAATTCCATATTTAAACATAAGGTTATAAAATAAGATGAAGTTAACACAATGACCAAGAGATTGAATAAAGCGTTATGAGTAGGCTTCAAGGCTATGAGTATGTTATGAATAATAACTTAGTTGTATAGAGGTTGTTTGACCTTGTTTTCGCAACTTGGTCATATTGGTAGGAAGACTTAGGGGAACGCACCTTGTCCGGAGCTCATTGTATGCATGATCATTTCTAAAGTCGGTCCGCGGACGTGGTACATTCCCAGACGTTTCACCGGCATTCTCAGTGAATCTCGCCATTCCAAGCACCATATTACAACTCATCAAAGAGACAAGTGAAGCCGATCATTTGACTAAACGTGTGCTAAAAGTTGTAGTATCACCCCTTCTCCCTGGGCTATTCACATTTCCTATATCCTCCTATCACACCTTCACTGTTTTAATTTTTGCCGTGCTTATTTCGATTTAATGTGGTGTGCTCCTTTAAGCGGCATTCATGAAAACTCTCCACACTCAACTCTCATTCCCCCCTCACTCTTGTGCTGGGAATGTTGATCACTTTTGTTCATTTTCCTCCACCTCCATTGTGAATTTGATTCTTTCATCAAGTTCGTTAATGAAATAGAGGAATTCATTTAATTTTTTTCTTGCCATGTGACCAAAGTGCAAATCAGTCATCCAAGTATCGCATAAGCACTCTTGGTTGTAGTGGTGACTTCTCAAATTCCCTTTCCAATTTGTCCATGTACACATTTTCCAAAAGAGGTGACAGTGGAGATCCCATCGGTAGTCCAAATATTTGCTCGTAGATGCTGCCGTTAAATGCAAAATATGTGGTCCTTACTGACAGGTTGATCAGTCGTGTTGATGATTCTTTCCGTATCCGTTCTGCCTCCAGGATGTCCTCTTCTCGCTCCGATATCTCCAGCAAGGTGCTTACCGCCTTCTCACCTGAGATGTTTGTGTACATGGGTTGTACATCAAAAGTTTTATTAACGAACTTAATAAAAGAATTAAATTCACAATGGAGGTGGAGG